ACACTGTCTCTTTACGTTTACTTAAGCGTTATGCCCCTGACGTATTCGATTATCTAGTATAATTATCGTATTATAGTAACCTACTATATATGTGACGTAGATTCAAAACGATTACGTATATAACCAGCCAGACACTGTTGTATAGCTTTCATTATGCCCGCTTGCATGGTCATAGTTATACAACTGTTTTTTTTTAGGAAAAATCGTTTAACATTATGTTGAAAGACGCAATATCGTACAGTGATCAGAGAATGATTGAAGCTGTATAGGCTACAATATAACATAACGATACGCTACAGTTTAATACAGACAGCGATTGTGGCAGCTCGCATATAGGGGCCTACACATGCAGTGCAAACCTGTGTTGCCACATGTCAAGTATTTGCCAACAGAAGAATGTTTACCTAAAATTATATATCTAAAGTAGATAACACATTTATATGTCAACTCTAGCAGTTATAGCTTAGGATTTTATCTATCTTACTAGCCAACTACTCTATTCCAATATTAGTTCAAGTTGATTATCGCAAATAAACCGGAGACTCTCATATGTCGCACGTCAAAAACAAACGTGACTATTGTTTACGTCTAAATAAAAAATTCTACTTCTAGTTCAGTGTTTCCCATTTAGTTGAACAAGCCGGTATATGTCTTCAGAATTAACGTGTCGTACAACCAAGGAGTAGGTGTGCCTACGCGCGCCCAAGGTTAAGAACCACTGGTCTATTAACCTGAATACCTACGCTACGAGTAAGTGTGATTAGGTAGTCAGCGGCTCTTCTTCAAACGAGCTTACATTCTAATGGTTGCCGCAGGTAACGGAATCATATCTTGCGGTTTCCTCTACGAAAATTCCACGATAGACAGCAAGGGAAAACGCATAAACTATATTATATGGCTTTTATGGAGTGTTGTGTGCGTTTGATAGCGTCGTATACCGTACGAAAATACCGTTCAAAGACTGCCATCGGTTTAATCTATGCTGCCACCTCTATTACGCAAACTTACGCGCTCAAAATAGACAGGGGCAAGCCCGCGAGAGATGGGCATGGCAAAATCCACTCTAAGCAATTCACCTTCGCCTAAGCAATTTACTTTCCTATTCATACGCTTATGTACATAGGGATGGCGCTCTCGTCGCTGGTCGCGTTGTCAGCCAAGGTAATTTCTGTCGACCGATCTTAGGCATGCAAAATAGGCAGAGGCATCTATGAGAGTGATGTGCATGGTAATATGCGCTCTAAACCATTCAATTTCGCCGCAGCATCGCGCCACAATGCAATGAGCAATTGCTAGCACGCAGTGCGCCAGTGTTTCCCTTACAGACCAATATGCTGGAATCGCTTAAACATTGCTTTTGGAATAGAAACCATGAATGAGATATCTCAAGCAAAAACGCACCTCAAGCTATCACATGATCGAAGGACTTAGACTACGAAATCTAACTATAACTTCTTGTAACGCATTCAATTGCAAAGAATCGCTGCGTGCAGCTGTAATACCGAATGTTGCAATTTTGATAATATTTCTATGTATCAATACCTACCGACCCATCCTTGACCAGTGGACTCAATAGAATTTGAACAAGAGGGGCACGAACCACAGGACAGGACGGGCACATTACTAATGCTCGCAGCATACAATTAAATGACTTGCAAAGTGTCAAGTCTCTTGTCGCAACAGTTGTTGACGATGATAACTTATAGGAACGATGAACGGAAACATAACGCCGAACGTAATGGCGGACATGACAGTTTATAGATGGCTGGCGATGTCACTCCTGACTTCTCGCTTTGTCGCAACAGTTGTTGACGATGATAACTTATAGGAACGATGAACGGAAACATAACACCGCACGTAATGGCGGACATGACAGTTTATAGATGGCTGGCGATGTCACTCTTGACTTCTCGCTTTGTCGCAACAGTTGTTGACGATAATACTTTAGGAACGATGAACGGAGGAAAGATAACGCCGAACGTAATGGCGGACATGACAGTTTATAGATGGCTGTCGATGTCACTCTTGACTTTTCGCATTGTCGCAACAGTTGTTGACGATGATAACTTAGGAACGATGAACGGAGGAAAGATAACGCTGAACGTAATGGCGGACATGACAGTTTATAGATGGCTGTCGATGTCACTCTCGACTTCTCGCTTTGTCGCAACAGTTGTTGACGATGATAACTTAGGAACGATGAACGGAAACATAACACCGCACGTAATGGCGGACATGACAGTTTAGATGGCTGTCGATGTCACTCTCGACTCGACTGCTCGCGCTTCCATCGCCGACGAGAGATGAAGATTAACGTGGATATAGCAAACTCGAGGTTTTCACGCCGAACCTCGGCATATCATAACTTATTACCTCAGATTCGCTCAGAGGTAGGCCCTAAATCACGTTTACACACGTGTGTGTGAAACTAACGAAACAGGCAAACGATCGCGAAAACTCTTAGTAATGAACGCTTTCATGGCAACGCCGACGTAGACAGACAATCTGCTCGAGCGGAAAACCTAATCACGATACGTCTCAGTGCGGCTGTAATATATAGACGAAGGCCCTGTATAGCCTAACGCAATAGAGATCGGCAATCGGGTTGTGTAAAGTTTGCAATCTTGTGGTGAACAGGGTGAATTGCGTTGGATGTTGGATTGTGGAGGAGAGGCGTTACCGTGGGGCGCCGTGTACACGGCAGATGTGATTATCAACCCTGGGGACATCGCATTTATTCACGTTTATTCACAGTAAAGGTGATCACGTACAGATCGCAAGAGAAAGACGACGGCATAACTGTTCAGACGCTAAATATGGCGGCTATCGTTTTATCGTCTCAGAAAGGGTAGCAGTTTTTGCCATCAACTTTCCATGGGTGTATGCAGGGGGGGGGGTCGTGAGGGTCGTACGACCCCCCAAAATTTTTTAAAAGGTCCACATTTTTTCCAAAGACATTTTTTTTCGATGGCCTTTTTACAATGACATAAATGAAAAAGATCAGGTACCAGCAATCAGTCCAAAGACATTGCCAATTGCGTGACGTAAATCTATCCCAATTCCAGCAATTCTGAAACTGAGCCTTTTTTTAAACAAAATTTTGTTTCATAAAAGAGAGACAAAGACTGACAAAGACAAAGACAAGACAAGATCAAGACAAGACAAGATCAAGACAAGACAAGATAAAGACAAAAAGTTCAAAAAATTCTGTTTTCAACTGAGTCAGAATTATTGAAGAATTTGATTAAGTCAGGAGTAAATAATCACAAATTGTGATTGTGAATTGTGATGTGTGATTGTGAATCGTGATTGTGATTGTGAACAGGAGTAAATAATTACAAATTTGTGAGTATTTACTCCTAATAGTGTGTAAGGCATTCCAGTGCGAGAAGCTACGCAAGAATAGGAATAATCTATGTGAGCAGCAAAATGCGCAAGTGGATCAAATTACGAACAGCTTCTGAATAAAACTGTATTTATTTCCGTGGAGCAGCTATTGATCCTACAATAAATTATACTTTAGCTTGTTGTAATCCGACATTACCAAATCCAATATATAATGAGCATGAAATTCATATAACCATGGCTAGCATAGCAGCGACTGCGCAATTGATGTAGTAGTGATTACAATAAAGGCTATAATAAAATTCATATTATTCATCGTTAAATTAAATTGCTACTACTAATAATAAATGACACTACCGGTTTCCTGTTCGTAGCTACAGACTAGACCGAGGTAGGAGTATAAGCACTGTGACCTGTGTATAACACGTGAGATTTCAAACCACGGTAACGAATCTATGCACGATGTCGTCTCTCGCGGTGTTTCATCGTTCACCCCAATTACAAATAGACACAGTGCCGATTACAAACGCTATTCATCAACAGCTTTTCGTTTTTTGTTCGTGTCGTCACATCGCCAGACACTGGTACTGGTGGCTTCCCTCGCGTGTGTATAGAGCAGTCACATGCACAACACACCTGCTATATAACGCGAGACCACCGTACAGACACGGTAAGACGGCTAAATTATTCACCATGACTCTTTTCCCCTCGTAAACGTGAAGGTTACTGGCGGGCATTGCTGATGATGACGTCACTGACGAGCAGGT